GGTATGTTATTTTTAAAGGTTAACCTATCAAAATATAAAAAAATTGAAAATTCGATTTTTGAAAATTTCACACTAGTTGTGCCCCACCAAATGAACTACATCACAACACATATCAAACAAACAACTATCTAACATCATTGTAGAATTATATTTTTGATATTTTTCAAAAATATGCCATGTGTTATTTTTTACTACATAGGCGAAGTAAAAAAAGACAGCCGACGTATCGTAAACTAAATAACACTACCCAAAATGCAGTAAAAACTCACAAGAAAATATAACTATTGTTAAAAAATTAACAATGTAGACGTTTATCTACATGTAGGCTATGGCTGATTGACACCTTTTGCCCTTTACTTTAAAATAGCACCTTTTAAAAAAATGCATACTTTATTAATTCACCGTAGGAAAAGTTATAGTAATCAAGCCAGAATTCGAAAATGATTTTTTTTGCATATCTTTACGTTTCAGAGGTTACTGAATATTTTGGCATACCTCACAAAAAATGGATGTGTATGTGTGTGTCAAGACAATTTTTCGTCGACGATTTCGGGCGTATGATTTAACCGATTTAAAAAATTCAAAAAGCAATAGACATCTATTGATAGGAAGATGTGTTGATTAGTTTTTGGCAAAGGCAGGTCCAGCCATTTCGGAGATACGGAGCAAAGAGTGCAGAAAATAGAAATCGAATTTTTGAGAGAACGGAGTATCCGATTTGAATGATCTAAAAAACATTCAATTAGTAATGATTGGGAGAAGTGTTTATTAGTTTTTGGCAAAAGCAGGCCCAGCCATTTTGAAGATACGGAGCTAAATATGAAAAAATGGCAATTTTTGAGAGAACTAAGCGTCCGATTTAAATGATTCGAAGAACTTTCTGCTTATCTTAAATTTTGTTCCAATTTTTTCCTTTTTTTTTAGTTTTTTGTATATCGAAAATATTTCAGATTTTATTTTTAATTCTGACTAGTTCTAATATACTTTACAAATAATTTCAACTCTGCAATTCAGTTCATATAATTCTTATAAATATTAGACAATGTTACAATATTTATAATAATCTATTTGAAACATTCAGTATTCCTTGAACATTTCGTTACGGTACGGAAAGTTCCAGCAATTTGCCTTAAGGCACGATGGCATAATTGCCTCAAGACAGAATTCCACTTACAGCTAGTTTTTCTCAATATTTTTGTATATCGAAAATAATTCAGATTTTAATTTTAATACTGGCTAAAATTCTGAAGCGCACTTATATACTTTAAATAAATAATGTTAACTTTGTAATTCATTTCATATAATTATTTTGAATATTAGATAATGTTACAGTATTTATAATAATCTATTTGAAAACATTTAATAATCCTCGATCATTTCGTTATAGTATGGAAAGTTCCAGCAATTTGTTTTAAGGTACGATGCCATACACCACTAGTTTGTTTTCGATATAATGATATAATACCTCCTCTAAATGTGTCTCCTTAATATTTTCCATTATCATTCAAATTCATCATCCAGTTACAAAATATCTTTAATTACTTTTCGACTAATGACACAGAGCTTCGCTTTGATGCCGACACAGTTTTAGGTTTTAACTTTATAATCGCTCGCATAATAATGAATTAAATTTGAATAACAAAATAACGTATTCAAAGGATTATTCAGTATTTATTGTAACCGCATGAGACACAAAGACCCTTGGGATTAAAATATCAGCGGGCGAATATTTCTGTAATCTCATCAAAGGATGAAATGAGCTTAGTGACCCTGATGGGAAAAAGGAATTAGGGATACATTCATAAACTATGCATGCAAGGGCTGCAGCATTAGCTGTAGAATTATACGAATTGAGTAGCTTTTAAAACCTAAGGCTAAGGTCTGCCTTTATATATACCCGATCCTGCACATCCCAACATTTGTAGAATATTAACTAGTGGGGCGCATGGCATCGTGCCTTAAGGCAAATTGCTGCAACTTTTCGTACCAAAAATTATTATTTTTTTAAAAGATTAACATTTTTGAAAAAAATTTACTCTGAAAAAATTAGATTTTTGAGAAACTATACTGAATTTTTGACAAAAATTTACTTTTTTTTTGAAAAAAAGACTTTTTGAAGAAAAATTTATTTTAATATATTTTGGAAATTCTGAACTTTTTTTCAAAGCAATCGTACTGCTTTAACTGCATAGAGATAAAATATCGAAGCGCGTAAGCGCCGCGTCGCCGTCTAACGGATAAACATTAGGAATGTAAACAAAATTTATACTTATTGTTAAAATATCTATAAAATATTTCATAATTTCATGTGCATATGTCTAATGATCATTTTTGACCGCCAAATGGCTCATTTTTTTTACTTTTTTCACTAGATCTCCGAAACCGCTGGACCTGTCATCATGAAAATTTGATCAGTTCTTCATCTTGTTAAGGGGCACAACTAGTGTAAAGTTTCGATAAAGACGATTTTTATTTTTTTTTTCATATTTTGGTAGATTACACCCTTAAAAATAACATATAAAAATGCCAAATCGATATCTCAAATAGTTTTTGAGTTACAGCCATTTAAAGAGTATATATATAGTATATAGTATAACGCGTTTTTCTCGAAATATCATTTTCCGAATTTGCTGCAATGATTACTCAAAAACAAATAATCCGATCACTATCAATTTTTTTAACATGTTCTATATATAGTTTTCCGTAAGATCAAAAATCGAATTTTGGCAGTCGAAAAACGATCAAAATTTTGGGTAAAATTCGACTTTTTTTTTAAAACGCCGAAATTTGGTCAATTTTTGATTTTCTTTATCGTAGTTCATTTTACAGACAATATTATCTAGTTTAACGAGATTTTTCTTTTTAATTTTACCCACGTAGAAGGCCGGAATCACTGCAACAGTTAAGGGCCTTTTTTTCGCGCCGTTGGAGATCGACGGTAACTTAAAAAATATTTAATTTTTTTCTTAAAAAATTTTACTATGTATTCCTAAAACATGTATAAATATATTCCTGAAATTTTGAAATGATTGATAAAGTAGATTTTTTAATATAAATTCCCAAAAATTACCGTTTTTTAAGGTGGTTACACTAGTTGTGCCCCTTAATACAAGTCAAATGTTTTTTGAAATATTCAAATCAGACGCTTCGTTCTCTTTAAAACTGAGTTACCGTTTTTGGAACTTTTTGCCCTATATTTTCGGAACGGCTAGACCTGCCTCCGCCAAAAACTAATCAGCACGTCTCCTTATCAATACGAATCGAATGCTCTTTGAATCATTCAAATCGCTTCATCCGTGTTCCCGAAATCGTCGACGAAAATTTGTATCCGCACCAACACACACACGCACACATACACACACACACACATACATCCATTTTTTCTAAGGTATGCCAAAATGTTCAGAAACCTCTGAAACGTAAAGATATATAAAAATTTTCATTTTCGATTTTTTTGCGATTACTACAACTTGCCCTATGGGAAGTTAATAACTAGACTGAATATTTTTAGACTCCAAATGCGACGTCATTGCGCCTATACTTTATTCTTTTATACTTTGATGTAGTTGCCAGGAATATTTTAAGATGTATGTTTGTAGCTCACACACGTTTGTCATACGAGTTGTCATTTACAAACGTCACTTAAGGGCAAGTTGACATCCCCACGCACTCGTCATGTTGCGTTACTTTATCACATTTAATTCATCAGATGTGGTATATTACCAGGGGAAGACAGAGGTGAATTGGAAAATTTAGAATTAGAATAGATTTTAAAATATATATGCAATTTGTTATAATTAAATTATAATTGTCGTTTTTAGGGAAAAGAATTTTTTTACGTTTATATTTGGCCTACAATTAAATTCGTGCCTGAATCCCCTACACGCCGATCAATCGTTAAAATAGTGAACTTTTTTTTGCTAATTTTTAAATAATCGAAAATTTTAAAAGCATTTGAATCAAACACTTATGGACCCATATTCATCTTATTTTTAACTTCCAGTAGGACAAGTTATAGTAATCGAAAAAAAATCGAAAATGAAAATTTTTATATATCTTGTGTAAAATGGATGTAAAATGGATGTATGTATGCGTGTGTATGTGTGTGTGTGTGCATGCATGTGAGTGTTTTCGGATACAAATTTTCGTCGACGAGTTCGGGAACACGGTTCAACCGATTTCAATTATTCAAAAAACATTCGATTCCTATTGATAAGGAGACTAGTTGATTAGTTTTTGACACAGGCAGGTCTAGCCGTTTTGAAGATACGGAGCAAAAAGTGCCACAAACAGTAACTCAGTTTTTAAGAAAACGGAGCGTCCGATATTAATAATTCAAAAAACATGTTACTTTTATTTACAGGATGATATGATATTTCGTCTCTTTGCAGTTAAAGCAATATGATTGCTCTGAAAAAAAGTTCAGATTTTCCAAAATATTTCAAAATAAAACATTTTTTTCAAAAAGTCTTTTTTCCAGAGAAGGAAATTTTTGTCAAAAATTTGTAGTTTCTCCAAAATCTAATTTTTTCAAAGTGAATTTTTTTTCAAAAATTATAATCTTTTTTAAAAAAATAATTTTTGGTACGGGAAGTTCCAGCAATTAGCTTTATATGCCATTATATACCCTATATATACCATTTGATAAATTTTATATAAGTTTTAAAAACTAAATAGTAAATTTATTTCAAACAAACCATATCACATTATTCTTATTATATATATATATATATATATATATATTATATATATATATCATCATTATTATATATATCATCATTTAATTTTATTTGCATTATCAAGTATTACTCAGATCTCGATTGACTAATATAATTAAATTTAGAATTTAGAAAAAAAATCTTGTGGTAGATAAAATATATCAAAGATAACAATGCAAATTATTTCTATAAATTCAGAAACAATGCTGTAATGCATTTAGTTGTTAATCAAAACGCATATGATAAAGTTCGAATCTGAAATTTTTATTTGATTGATTAAAAATGAATTTTTTATTGGTATTTGTTGAATTACTGTTATGGACTCAATTTGGGGAAAGCGCCACGATTGCAAAAGCTAATGACGGTTTGTAGAAGGTTTTTTATTATTGTAATTTATTAATTATTGACTGAGTATTATTTTCAGGTTGTAGATCCGATGATTGGGGTCTTCAAGTAAATTTAGAACAAGTTGGTTCCAAATGCTACCATTTTGGACAACAAGCAGTAAGCACGTCAAAGTTTGCAAAAATTAGTATCATTTCTTTGGCATTTGTCAAAATTAGACCTTTGATCGACGTTTTTTCAAAGCGCCTATAACTTTTGAACGAATCATCATAGGACATTGATGTTACTAGGTGAAATATTCTAAATCAAAAGATCTTTAACCCAGTATAAGAGTTTTTAAAATACCTCTCACCGTTCGCGAGATATAGCCCAAAAACTGTTTTAAATTTTCAAGTTTGAAACAGTTAAACGTCTATATCTCGAAAAATATTTAACATAGGGCCATGACGTGTATGAATGAAATATGCGCATTTAAAATATGTATCTGCAGCTGCAAAAATTTTTATGATACCTCTAACCGTTCCCGAGATATTCGCTAAAAACCATTCGCTCCTTTTCACATATTAAAAATGCGTTTTTCTCGAAAACTATTTGAAGTGCGATTGAAATTTTTTAATAGCATTTTCCTTATGTCATAAGGTATCAACGTTGTGAAAATCATCAAAATCGGAAACAAAAAATTTTCATCCAAAATCGGAATCCAAAACGTGATGCTAGCATCATGCTATAAATTCAGTTTTTTCTTATTTACTCGGCAACCGTTGAGAATATTAAAGTGCAGTTTTTTTCACGTTATTCTAGCCCACAAGACAATTCGAACGACGTCTAATTGAAGCTTCTACGTGCCCGGGAAGTGTGTGAAAAATTAAAAAAACTAACAAATTTTTCGTCTATTTTTTGGGCATTTTTACTCGTGAAATCTTTAAGCGCCTATAACTTTTGAACGAATCATCATAGGACATTGATGTTCCCAGACGAAATATTCTAAATCAAAAGATCTTTGACCCAGTATAACAATTTTTAAAATACCTCTTACCGTTCGCAAGATATACCCCAAAAACTGTTTCAAATTTTCAAGTTTGAAACAGTTAAACGTCTATATCTCGAAAAATATTCAACATAGGGCCATGATGTGTATGAATGAAATATGCGCATTTAAAATATGTATCTGCAGGTGCAAAAATTTTTATGATACCTCTAACCGTTCCCGAGATATTCGCTAAAAACCATTCGCTCCTTTTCACATATTAAAAAATGCGTTTTTCTCGAAAACTATTTGAAGTGCGATCGAAATTTTTTAATAGCATTTTCCTTATGTCATAAGGTATCAACGTTGTGAAAATCATCAAAATCGGAAAAAAAAAATTTTCATCCAAAATCGGAAAAAAAAAAACGTGATGCTAGCATCATGCTATAAATTCAGTTTTTTTTTATTTATTCGGCAACCGTTGAGAATATTAAATGCAGTTTTTTCACGTTATTCAGCCCACAAGACAATTCGCCTGACGTCTAATGGAAGCTTCTACGTGCCCGGGAAGTGTGTGAAAAATTTAAAAAAACTAACAAATTTTTCGTCCATTTTTTGGCATTTTTACTCGTGAAAATCTTTAAGCGCCTATAACTTTTGAACGAATCATCATAGGACATTGATGTTCCC